TAAATTAATGTTGAATGAAAATTTATAAGAAAATTTTGCAAAATATACTGAAAGACTATACAATACTGAAGTTAACGTAAAGCAATTATCCTAGATCAGGCATGGGGAACCTGCGGCCTTAAGGCCGCATGCGGCCTTTTAACTGTTTTTTAGTGGCCTTTGTCCTTAAAAAAATTTATTTCTTATATTTCTTAAAAGTTAAAATTTTGCTGCCAAACGAGGCTGGAACCAAATATAAAATTGTTATCGAGCAACAAACAATCACAGAAAAGTCATTGAAATAATGAACCATATTATTTTATTAATAATGTACATACTTACTTATCTATTTTTATTTATGAAATAAACTGTTTTATGTTATTTTTTATATTCTGACATAATTTTGTTTTCATCAACCTACACAAAGCAAAAATTTATAACCTTTGGACTTTTTTTAAACTTTGCGGCCTGATTGACTTTGCATTGACTAAAATTTGGCCTTATATAGAGAAAGGGTTCCCCATCCCTGTCCTAGATAGTATATAGTATATGTATACATTATATTATTTACAAATTTATGCTATTTTATATACAATGTTATGTCATTATGTTATGTTTCGGAAAGTTACAAAAAATCTAATAATGTTTGCAAAAATATGTGTGAATGTACGTAATGCAGTAAGTATGTGTAAAGGAGTAAAAGGCAAAGTATGTAATGTATACATATATATACAAAACAAATATTTTCCAATATTCTGTCAAGAAAAAGAAAATAAGGACAATATATGTAAACGAATTGCTTTTTTTTTTATAAAAAATATTGGATGATTCTTTTGAGAAAAGACAAAAATGTAAAAAACTCAAAAGGGTCTTTAAATATACTTATATGTAGAATATCCTTATATATTATGTATACGTAGACGTATAATACATGTGGTTGTGTTTATTATATTATGTTCTTTTATGTATACACCCTAACCACAGTTAATGTCAATATTGTAAAAAATACAACTGAAATGATTCGGATTAAAATCCCTTAAGAAAAATGTAGTCTATATATTTATATAAGTATAATAGGTTTTTATATATAAGTAGTTATGTATAGATGTCTTTTTAAAAATATGCTAAAAGGATATTATATTTTATCAACTTTGATTGATTTTTCTAACTATTGAGAAATTTATTTATGAAATCAAGTATGAAAAAAAGATTTTGTTTTTTATATTTTTTTTAACATTAATAGCGAACACTAAGTATTTCAAGTTTAAGCGTCCAGCTTAGACAATTAATGATTGACAGGGCTTAAATTTAATAAAATCTTATATCAACAAATCATACATATTGCATAAACAAAATATTTTTTGTTAAAAGTATCATATGACAAATTGTAATTTAACACGCTTTAATTGAAAAAATTTGCGTTAATGTTGAAAAAATATAAAAATTTGATATTGCGTTACACGATAATATTTATATCAATAAAATATTCATGTAAACAAATGAATTGATTTTATATTTTAAATATAGAAATTTGAAAACCCACTCCAATTTTTTTAAAATTTATTCTTGTACTAATTGAGTTCCGGTAAATTGAAGGTACTATTATTGATTAATTATGTTTTAAAATAAATTATAGAATATTTTCATTTTATATAATTTTTTGATATTGAAATAGAGAATTTTCTATATTTAAGTATACTTATACATTCGCTAATGCACCTTAATTTTAAATTATTTAATACGAATTTTAAATAATTTAGAAAAAATAAATGGACATAACAAGTTTACCTTTAAAAGAAGATTTGCGCAACAGCAATTTATTTGCAAGTTGTATAAATATATTTTTGTATAAATATGCATATATGAATACACATAATATGTTCGTTAAATTCATGATTTTTAATGTTATGTCGATATTTGTTTCATTAATGACATATATATCCATATTATACTACATTTTATGTATGTACATATGCGCCTAATGTCAGATTTGTGTTATTCTTTTGAATTACATTTTTTTTTAATTTATAAGTAATATGTATATATTAAAAAAACAAAGTGCATTCACCCTTGTATTAATGTAGCCGGTTTATTAAAAAATGAAAATTTTAACATATTTTCTAATTTTATCTTATGTGTGCTTGAATGAATAAAACTTTGATTAAAAGCAAAAAACAAAAAATAAAAAGTAGTTTTGAATTCTAAATCTAGTTTAACTTGACATTTTGAAAATTTTGTGCTTTTAGAAATTTCGTGTTAAGTTTTTTGTTTTGATTAGACTATTTATATACATATAATGTAGACTATATAGTCTACATGTCATGTACACTACAATTTATCTACCTACATAATCGTAAAACTATATTTTTTCATGAATATAAAAATAAAAGTATGATTTCCGAAACTTTCGGCTGAATTAAATATGAGAGTACTAATTTTCATTTCCGAGATGGAACTACAACAGAGCAATCGAAAGGTCCGAAACGGGAAATAAATTGCTGTTTCATTTTTTTTTTCCAAAAATTTATTTAAATTTTAAATGTAAATAATTTTGAAGCGTTAATTGTTTGGGCTCGATATTCATATGATAAAATGACAAGCTCAGCCGAATTAATGCTATTAAGCGTGAAGTTTCCAAAATGAAAATATACATACATACATATATCACCAAAGAGACAAGAAACCACTTGTTAATAGAATTCAAACTTTTAATATATTGTAAGCATAAAATTATTATTAAATTATTTATTATGAAATTTATTAGAAATAACAAGAATGCAAAAATGAGTAAAAAAAAAGTACTATTCTAGCTAAAATAATTATAAATTAAAAAATTCGTAATAAAATTGGAATTCCCTTATTAATTATTAAATACTAAAAACCAGACAATTCAACCTATGTCAATATTATAATTCAAAAAATATATATACATTACATTTTCTTATATTAATTCAAGAGAGTTTAAAATTTGCAAAAGAAAATTAACATATTATAACAATAAATTGATATAAATTCAACAGAATTTTTTTATTTATAATTTTTATATTAAGTATAATTTATAACACTTGTATTTACTTTCAATGGAACTTTTTATTTGTCAGATATGCTCTATACAAAGTAAAACTTTATAACTACATATGAATATTTAAAATGTCTCGAATATTTGCAACTAAAATAAAAAATTTATTTTATAAATTTTTATTAAATTTAATTTTAGTTTATTAATCTAATACGTTTATAACTCTGTCCATACATGTATGTATGTATATATAGATATATTTTTAAGTATATGAAACAAAATGTACATGAGTATAGGTACATTTAAGGGAATTATTTTAAACTATTACCGCAAATATATTTGAATTATTTCAAGTGCAATATTATTACATATTTAATAATAGTTTATAATTTTAAATTATGATATTATATTATATTGTTAATTATTACATTACAATATAAAGAGTACCTATATATATATATATATATGCTTATACATTATATAAATGTATGGACTAAAATAAATAATGTACATACATATGCGTGTTCTTTAATATTTATATAAAATATATCGAATAAAAATTTAAGCTCATATTCTGAACATGAACTTTGAATTCAAAAGAATGTTAATGACATCGAAAGATCCTTATATATCTATGTTTACACATACATACTTATACAATTTTCTTATATATTAAATTTATATAATTATTATACACATAATTTTTTTTTATTAATTTATTGGTGTTTGAAATCAAATTCCAAATCATTTCATAAAATAAAATCTTTTCTTTTAATAAGATAAAACTGTATGTGTACGTATGTTCTTACATGATTATGTATATTTAAGATAGAATCAATGTTAATTGAAGGGCATCTATCAATTAAATATACACATACATTTATACGTGCATATTCATATATTGAAAACCGATATCATATATTTTTTGCAAATAATATAAATATAAACGATTTTTCTTTGCAAAAAAAAGGAAACAAATAAATATTTGTTTAAGATAAAACTTAAACTTTTCTATTTTTCCTATTCATTCATGCATGCTGTGTATTTGTAAAAAATTTAAGTAATATGCAAAAATCTAATTTGTTAAGTTATATTACTTAAATGAAACACCCTTTAGTTCAAAAATTCAATTTGTTTTTCCCTTTTATCCTACTACCTATGCAAATCTAAAGTGTATATACCTACCAATCAACATTATATATTTATATGTACATGATTATAATATACATAATCATATATTACTTAATTAATATATGTGTATATAAAATAGAAGAGCTTCTAACATTAAATTTATTCTTATCATAACATCACGAGGCAATCTATAATTGGAATTAATCAGTATATTTAAGTGAATAATAGGGAAATAGAGAAATCTTATATTAAATTCATGTTCGATATCTTTCCATTTAATTTTGTATTCGAAACTAATATGAAATATTCTTTTATACATTATGTATGTATAATATTAAGGTCGTCTTTCCTTTACAAAATTTAAGTGAAGAACAAACCAGTTTATTTCATACTCGTTTTGTACATATCCTTTTTTTCTCATATTTTTCATTTATGTAGGTAGCTACCTACCTACCTTAAATTTTTTATTCTTCTCCAAAATAGGTAGATTTGGCAAACTTTTTTAATGAAATTTAATAAAAACGAAAAAAAAAAATCCATTATTACCAAATCTGAAAGTTAAAATTACTTTTTGCTCATTTTAATAATTTATAAGCAATAAATTAAAATGATAAAAAAATAAGAAATTTTTTTTTCATTATCTTTATGAAAATATTCTGAATTTGCGCAGAACTTCTTAAAACATTTGCAAAAGAAATTGGTAATAAACTCTGCTTTCTCATATTAATATTTTCATAAGACCAAAATTAAAATAGATAAAATTATTATAATTATACTTAATTAACTTTATATTATCACAAGGGAAAAAAATTTAGTACTTATAGTTAAAAAATGATTACAAAATACTTAATATTAACATATATGGTAGTACCTTTGAGTCTATAGCATATACGGGTTCACTTTAAAGGGAATTTATTTAATACAAAAAAAAAACTTTAAAATACCAAAATGGCTGAAGATTAAAAAAATTGAATGATTGAAAGTAAGTAACAATTTATTTAAACTTTATTTTAAATAAAAGTTTTTTCTGTTTTTTTTTCTTTTATTTATTAAATAAAAATTCAATTTAAGTATAAGTCTGTATACCGAAAATGCACTACAAGCATTTAAAGGTGAAATTATCTGTCGACCAAATTAAGGTATTAAATTTTTCTTACAATTTACTTTTTTTTTTATTTTTTATATTTTTTTTTCTTGTTATTTCTGGTCAACAACAATAATACAATTTTCTTTTTCTTTTAATTTTCAATAAAAATCACAAAAAATTTTATTTTATCCGCTTTTATAATTCACTGAAAAAACACTAGAGTTATCATTCAGCACCGAATTGAAACTAAATTTCTCATTTCGAAATTCTCATTATTTATGTGTTAAAAATGTATGGTATGAATGAAATGAGAAAGAATATTATGTTCTAATTTTTTTTCTGAGTAAAATTTTTATAAGAAATTTTGTTCTAAAAAAACTAGGGGTTTAGGGGTATTTGTTTGTTGTATTTTATTTGAAATGAGTGAAATTTTAATATTATGTAATTACATAATTTTTTGCATTTTTATTTCTTATTTTATATTAATTTTATTCTTATGATGTTTTATGGGAAAACTCCTTGTCACAACTAAGGTTAATTAAATTATTAAGCTACAACTATTGCTATTATCCCGGACATTTTCGATAAATTTAATATACAGTATTTGAGAACTAAATTATTTCTTTGTATTATTCTAAAACATTATGGAACTTAGAATTTTTAAAGGAAAATTAATTTGATATTTTAATGTTAACGTCCCTTTTGAAGTAACTGAGGAAAGAGAATTTATGCTGATTAATCAAATTATGGTTTTCTTACATACGAAAAAATACAAATGAAACCAAGTTTTGATAATTTTGTTTTTTTGTAATTAGTTTTTCAAGGATAATTACCTTTCCTTTATAATCCTATTTCCTAATTAAATTGGTATGTTAAATAAGAGGTATATTTTATAAAAATTTAATAAATAAATTTCGCACATTCTTTTTCAAATTCCTGTTGCTTTTTCATCATTCTGATTTCAATCAGATTTCCAGTCACAATAATTTATTTTTATATCGCATCTACAAGATAAAAAATTAAAAAAGAAATTTGAGTGAAAATTTGAGTTACATTTTCTCCTTTTACTATTTCATTTTCTCTCGAAATCAATATGTGATGTGAATAAGAAAAAATTTGTTAAAAAAGTCTTAAGATTTTTTCATATTTTCAAATATACATAACTAAATAAGTATACAAATATGTACATACTTTGGAAAGAGGATAACAATGATTTGAGAATGAAGAGTCCATTTAAATACAATAACTATTCATTCTATAAAATCTATGGATGCACATTTAAATATTATATCGTCGGCAAAACTGTGATACCACCTGAGTGCAAATATTTCCAAAAGTATTTTACCAATTCTCTGTTTAGAATATGTAATAAATAATTACATACTTACTCGTATTCTTTAAATAATTTTCATTCTTTCATAAATTTAAAAGATGTACTACTTATTTGAGATTTTCTAAAAAGAAAATAAGAAAAATATTTTTGCAAATATTTGCACTTTCGTGGAATCAAAGTTTAGCCGACGATTTGTAATCGGCTAACTGGAAGTGATGGCTATGTGATAAGAAATACGAATTGATCTTTAAATTCGGAATAAAATCTTAGAGTATAGAGACATAAGCTATTAATTTTAACCAGAATTTGAAATATTTGATTTTATTAAACCAGAATTTGTAGAATTAGATTACATTATTTAGTATGTATTTAAAGATGTATCTAGGTACCTACCAGCTACTTGTACCTATATACTAAATTATAAGAAAAATTCTTTTAGTAGTTTGTATTAGTTTCAAAAAGTTGTCCTGATTCGAAAAACACACTTTATTTATGCTAAAAGTTTATGAAAGCTATATATATATAACATAAAAACTTTATCAAAACTGATTTTCTTCACCCTAATTCCTTTATATTACGATTTCAATAGGATTTTCAATACCTATAATTTCAATACTTAATTTCCTTCTTAATAAATTTAAGCAACAATTATAAAATCATCTAAAAAGAAGTGTAGAACACCATAAATATTCTATACTATCTAAATATTCTTTTTTTTTTATTAAAAATTAATTGTCCGATTGCTATTATCAAAAAATTCTCATAAGTTAAGTAAAAAGTCCAATTTCAAGTAAAATACAATTTAAAATTTTTGTTCCCTTGAGGAAATAAGGGAACTAACGAAGACTCGTAATTTTTTAACTTATATTGAATTATTATTTCGTTTAAACAATGAATTATATGTATAACGGTTATGTGCTAGATATAATGACAGTTCTTTTTTGTACATAAAATGTACATACTTTCAACATGAAAGTATATTTTTGAAATTTTTTTAATGAACAGAAATGCTCATTAAAAAATAACTCTTTTTACGTATTAACTGAATAGTTATTGCCTGCATTAAAAATATATTTACCTTATAACAAAAGAATTTTTATAAGTTCAAGTATTTAGAAACACTTCTGTTCTATTTAGAAAGTAAATAGAAAGATACGTGTTAACATGTACATATATATATATACATATATATTTACAACGAATAACAGGGGATATAACGTTCATTTTCAAGAAAATACCGTTTTATTTTTAGCTGTATTATTGTACCTACCTACATATGTGGTACAAAATCAAACAAAATATCCACAAAAAAAAACAGTGCTAGAGTTTCTTTAAGTTTAAAATATTTTCTATTTAAAAAGAAAAATCAATACATAGTACGAATATGCGATTAAAAAGTTTAGATAATTTGAGCAGTTCGAGACAGTCTGATCAATCTCTTGATTTATCATATTTTTTGGGAAATTAAAAAAAAATTTTCATTACATTTTCTGTTTTAAGGAATTTGCACTTATATATGCATACGTATATATACCAGATAAGTAGGTACCTTTTTAATACAACTGTAAAGTTTGTACTCTTGTAAGAAGGTTCCTCTATGTACATACATATATGTATGTACATTTATATACACGTATGTAAGTAGCTAGGTACCTACTACAGTTTATGTTAACATTCAGGTATTGATTACATTTATACATATAAAAATGTAAACATAAGGCAATATATATATATTTCTACCTTTTACACAACTTTTACACAAGTAGTATTACAAAGTTTTAAAGTAAACAAGTAGAAAACGGTAGGTACTAAAAAGGATAATATTAAATGTTAAAGTTCATGGCAACTACACATTCAATAAGGATGAAAACTTTAAATTAAAAGTTCATTTTACAAAGAAAATTTGAAAGAGGAATGCTAAACAAGCAAAAAATAAAGAAATTTAATAAATACATACATACATACGTGCTACATATGCATCTTTGAGTTAAAGGACGAGGAAACTTTTTAGTTACTTTAAAAATTTTTTATGACAAGTGTAAGTATGTAGATATTATCAATTATTTAACTGGGTATAGCATATATGTATACATACATAACTAGATTCTATATATTTGCTAGAGTTTCATGACAATTTCGAATGTTTTTTAAAATTCGTTCATGAATCTAGTATGTAGTTGCAACCAGAGAGCTGTAAATCTGAGCAAAGACCAGGGATGTAAATATTTCCATTGTTTTATTTTTCTGTTGGAAACTCATTGTACAATGTATGTACATATGTATAATATATTATATAAAACACATATTATGTTGTAGACCATCTATCAGTATCCAAAAACCAAAGCTTGCAATAAAATTTTGTACTTTATTTGCCTAAATTTTGATATTCTTAATATATGGTTAATATACTTACATACATACAATAGGATCTGTATTTACATACATACATACATATGCACATACATATATCTGCTTTATGTCCTAATTCTATCAGGAATCAGCCAGTGCACTTAAATGAGTTCAGAAAGTTTTATTTTCTATCTTCAATTACATTTTCAAACAATTTTTTAATTTTTTACAAATTTTTATATTTGTCCGATATAAAATAATATTTATGACAGGCGATTGTGATGTGGCATACTTATATGAATTTGAAATAATTAGTTTTCAATTTATAAACCTCAATTTTAAAAAATTTTAAACACAAGGAAAGCGAAAGTAAGTAGAGTAACCGTGTACGAATTTGTTCAATAGGCATACTAAGTCCAGACTGGCAGTGAAAAAAATATTTTCCGCCAAAAATTTAAAACCAGCGGTGTTTCCATTTTTAGATTGTACGATAAAAAATTTAAAATTTTTATGATGTGTGAGAAATGTAAAAGGTATTTTTGTAATAAGTTAAGTTTTGTGGAAAACTAAAATTAAAAAATTTTTTTTTAATAAAATTATAAATAAAACAATTAGAAGCATTTTAGAAGCATAAATTGATATTTGAAATTATCAATAAGAATTGTCAATGTCAAATTTTATATATGTAACTATAAGGGAAATTATGGGTTTAAATACAAAATACTTATTTGTAAATTACAAAAAAAAATTTATTCTGAATTAGATTTTCTATTAGAAAATTGAATTTTTACAATGCATAAACATGAAAGCAAAATTTTTTATTTGAAATTTATTTCTTGTTGTCACAATCTACAAAATTTAACTTAATATGTCAAAATATCATTATGCTGTCACTTAGTAGGTAACAAAATAATGATGTTGTGCAGAATGTGTTAGTAAAGAAAATGTACACCAGAGGTTAGGAGGGTATATTAGTGTTCCTAAATAATTATGTTGATAAAGAAATTAGCAGAAATAACCCGCAAAAAGTCGACGCTAGCTTAAAACATCCTTGTAAACAAATGTGACATTCTAGATTATTAATTTCAGACGTGATTCAATATTGATTGTTATTCAATTTAAATTTTTTTTGAGTAAGATTTTTTTTGATTCTTCTACATTCTTTAAATTCAGACTGTAACCAGTGTATATTATAACAAAAGATAAAATATGACCGAAGAAGGCGAATTTGATGCAATTTTATTTACTTTAGCTGATAAACATCCGGAAGGTGTTCCGCAAGTATGTAAAACCTTTTCTTGATTTATTCGGTAGAACCATACGAATTACACTATATTTCAAATTTTGTATATAAATATTTTAGCTTTTAAATACTATTGCCGATTGGTTGGCCCGTAGAACAGATTTCTTTTATGGTGGAGAAGATGGGCAATGGCAAAAGGTATATCTATTTAAGGTTATGTTAATATTGAAGATTTTGTGAAAAATCATGTTTTACAATATTTGTAGCTGTTAATGAATGCTTTTAATAAACATGCTACAAAAGCAATGGAAATACATAAGCAAAAAATTAAAGAGCGTGAAGAAGCAGAAAAACGGAAACAAGAAGCCAATCGTAAAAAGAAAGAGCAAGAAGAAAAAATAAATATGGATAATGCAAGTTCAAGTATTAGCGAAGTAACTGATGAAGAAGCTGAACGAATTCAAAAGGAAATAGATGAAGAAAAGTACGATTTTTTTTTCTTGGATGATATTTAATATTATTCAATCTTAAATTTAATCAATTTTAAGGAGACAAAAAGAAGCAAAAACTAAAGTAGAGGATGTGTCCAAACCAGTGGAAGGAGATGCGGAAGATTTGGAAGAAGCTGATAAAAGCAAATTGCAGCCTAATGAAGGAAATGGTTGCAATTTGGAAAATTACAAGTGGACACAAACATTGCAGGAAGTTGAGGTAAGTTAAAAACAAAAAGTTTTTTGTTGAAATTTCCTGTATAAGTACAAATATTTTAAGGTATATTATCGGTTGCTATGAAACAAATTTCCAAATAAGTACATGTCAGAGTATTATATACAAATTCATTCACTAACTCAATTTTTCATTATGTTAGTCAAATTTGCATCTGTTTAATGAAATATGTTTTTATTGAAAATTTACGAGCTTTACATTTCTATTACCTATGGCAACTGAATTTGTGTTACTTCCCTTTAAAACAGTATTTGTTATTGCTAGGACTACGACTTTCTAGCTTATTGAAATTTTTGTTTGAAATGGTCTTGTACAATCTCTTTTTAATATTATTATTTGTAATATTAATATTAAAAGGAGATTGTGATGACGGGAAAATCAATTTAATTTAAAAAAAAATGTTGTTTTCGTTGCTCGTATTTTATTTGAAAGAAAAACGAGCGAAAAATTATTCGCCATTTGTAATAAACGAAATATATTCCAATTCGCTTTTATTAAATTATCTAATGAATTTTTCATATCATAAACACAAACCAAAATTAATTTTTTTTAATAAAATTTCCTTTTTTCAAATGATTGAAAAATTTATATATAGATGGCTCTTATTTGATCTAGTTTTTAAAAGAAACACTTTTTTTATTCTAAATTGTTGAATAAAATTATAAATTAAAAATTTTTATTTAAAATTATTAATAAAATTAAAATTATAAATTAACAAGAATATTACGTATATACTAATTTTTTTGTGTATAAATCATTTACGTTAAGTAAGATTTTCTAAAATTGCATACTTAATTTTAGACAAAGCAACTAAAGTGAGAAGGAATATTTAATCATTTAATTACCTTAAAAATAATGGTAAGAACTCCATTTACATGCCGAAAAAGTAAAAAAATTTTATGATTATTGAATTTTACTAAACAGAAATTTCAAGTTCTTATTTAAAATTAATTTCATCTAATTTCCGCTCTTTTTAAAAATATAAGGAAAATTTTTGCAGATACGATGTTTGAAAAGCAGTTCTAGCCTAGCGCTTCTTTAAGTCTTTAAATCTTTAAGTCTCATAAACAATGTCATTGCTGTTACTTTCGGACGACTGATTATTTAGAAGTTTCAGAATTTGCAGATTGCGTAAATAAAAAAACTTAGCTAAAGTTTTTGGATACTATTTAACGCGACTGAAAAATTTTAGTTCTAATGTAGAACTTTGAGCGCAGCGTGCATAAACGAATTTTCCCATAGATAATTTTTATTTATTGTATGTATTCTAACATACCATACGTATTCTATCTCCTATTTGATACTATGTATTCTATGTACTTGATCCTATGAATCCTATGTACTCTAACATACTATATGTATGTATGTAAAGGTAAATCTTTTATGGCTATAATAACTCTGGAATGGCTGGGGTGGCTCGGGCTGTTCCGCTACCACACTCAGTTCCCTTAAAATCTATATTTGTGATTTTTAATTTTAATTGAAAATTTAGAAGCTCTGCTTTAAAGTAATAAAAAATTCGTTTAATTGGGCATTTGTTTTAGAGTGTACTTGTTTTCTTATCCAACCACACAAAAGTTTCTATTCCAATTATTGGCATTGCCTTTGGTTTTGAAATCGCACATTAACTTAGAATCCTTTCACAATAAATCAATCCATTTTACGTTCTCTAAACCTCCCTCTTTCTTGGGTACTTAAGGCTTAGGTAACTAAAAATTTATAAGTTTTTAAACCGTTTGCTTATTAAGGCGATTTTTTTTTAGCAAAATTCATAAAATATTTAATAAAAATAATACAAAAATAATTAAATATCATGAAACAATAAATAATTTATTTTTAGGTTTTGTTTTTTTTTTTTATATATTATAATTTGATTTTTTTTTGTTTTGTTTTATTACATAAAATTAAAATTCTAAATAATATTGAGAATATTTTCTAAATTTCAAAATAAAATTTAATTTTGTTTTTTTGCTTAAAAATCATTTCAAATTAAGAATTTTCTTTTTTTTTATAATTTTTAAAATTATATAAGGAAACAAGGTTTATTTTTTTTTCATTTAAATTGTATTTAAAAAAAAAAATTTCAAATTTCTAATCAATAGTTTAATTGGTAATACTTAAAATGTATTTACTATAAAAAAATATACGCTTTGATATATTTTAATTAAATATTAGAATAATATGTTTTTTTAATTGCTTTATACATAAATTATATATTTTAAAATTTCAAGAGAAAATCTTGATTTAAATTTTTTTTTAATTTAAAAATCGATGACTAAACAAATTTTTCTATTTTATTTATTTTTTTTGTTTGTTTTTCTTTTAATTTTTGATTTTCAATTAATAATTTAATTGCAATATTCTGGAATAATTTTAATATTCTTATTAATTAATCAATTGAATTCTTTTTTAAATTTTATTTTTTAAAATGTGATTGTTGTTGTTTTATTTTCTTATTTTCTAAAGAAATACTTTGTTTTTTTTTTGGGTTTTTTTTTTAAATAATATTTTTTTTTGAAACAATTATTTTGATTACGATTTTGATTTTAATATTTACATAATTTAATTATTATTTTTATGCTTTCACGTTGTCCTATAATCTTGCTACAACAAACCTGTTGTTTTTACAATCGTCAAATATTACTATTAAATTTTATTGTTGTCAATGAAAGCATTTCATATAATCAAAATCGAAAATTTAATAATTCGATAAATTAAAAAAAAAAAATTTTTTTTGTTTTGTTCTTTTAACATACAATTGGTTTTTGTATAAAGTTCTGATTATATAATTATAAAATAATTATTTTCGTAAAATTAGAATTTAATTTAGGTTCGAGGTGGTATAAAAAAAACATCTTCTGCAATTATTCTTAAATCTGTACTCCTTAGTTTTACATTTGAGGCATTTCTCTAGCACGCACTAAAAAGAAAAAGGAAAAATTTAATAAGAATTTCAATAAAAATTAAGCATGTTTATTTTGCATTATTTTAAATAATTAAAATTGATCATTAATAACATCGAGCTACAAAATAGCCTAAAAATAGTCTATGTAAATTTTTGAATTAAAATTTTCAAATTTATTTTTTTTTGCTTCTTACAACCAGCACCCAAAAATTAATTTTAAATAAAATAATAAATGACATTGCATTTGTATGATTACCCAAATTCATACAAATTTTTTGAAACAAACATTATACAAAAACGAGAAAAAATGGAGTTGACCTTTTCAACTCTGCGATACCCGTACGAATTTTTTTATTCTATGTGCGAATGAATATGTCATAGCTGACTAAGGAACAGACTCTGTCTTTAAGGTGCCATATTCCCATATTAATTTATGCAAAATTTCAGTACTGTGTTTTCAATATTTTCTACATATGACAACTATTCGTTTGTGTGAAATTTCAATACGACAGCTTTTATAGTTTCTCAAATTTTGAAGTTGTATGGCAGCTACCCGAATCGCTACCCCGATCATGTCCGATTTCAATAGGGTTCTTGTACTTACTACAGTAAACCATTTGTGAAAATTTGGTGAACTTAGCTCAATTAGTTTTTGAGTTATCGCTGGGACGGACGGACGGACGGATGGACAGACAAAGCTAAATCTACTCAGAATTTGACGCTGATCAAAAACATACACTTGAGTCTATATCTAAGACTGTTAGCCTTACAAACGGTAAGGCAAATTTAGTATAGCCTTCGAACATACGTTCGTAGGGGTATAATTAATGTTCTCGTTAATGACAACATGGTCTGCCAATTATACTTTTTCTCAAATCAAAATTAACTAACAATATGCAAAATAAATAAAATAGAATTATTTTAAAATAAATTTCATATACTTACTTTCCATTAAATATACCATTAATAAAATACCAATTAAAAAGAAACCGCTCATTGTTAATATTAATACAGTTAATTGATGTCCTCGACTACATATTCCATTATTTTTGGTTTTACGTTGTGGCCCGCCAACACCATTAACCATTGTAAAATGTGTTGAGCTAGCTATTGATACAGCATCAACATCTTTGGTTTTAATAAAATGTAAATTTGGATCAATCTCTAACATTGTATTATCATTTTGTTCATTATTAATATTACTATTACTATTATTATTATTATTATTAGAAATTGTATATATATTTAATTTATCATTATTATTATTTGTTTTTGAATATTGATCAGTCATTTTATTTGTTGTTGCTGTTATAACATTAATAGCAGCAGCATCTCTATTAACTTTTGTATTGTTATAATTTGTATTCTTATTATTACTATTATTATTATGTATAGCTACAAAACGTTCTAGATTTGCTGTTGTCAATAATAATGATCCAGATGAAGCCGTCTACAAAAATTAAAAGAAAAGAAAAGAAAAATGTAAATTAAAATAGAATAAAAATTTCATGAATATTTTTTAAAGATTTTTAAAATTTATAGTTTATAGAGCAAGATGACAAAAAAAAAAATTAATTAAAATGTTTTTGTTTTCACCGATCTATACGAAAATATCCGAAGACCAAAAAAAAATTTATTGTTTCAAAATAAAAACCAACTCTTCAAGATCATAAATTTTAAATTTTTTTTTTTCTAAATTTTATTTTATGCCGCGATCTTTTCGAAAGAAATAGCAAGGCTATGAATTAAACATTTTGATCTATATTAAATTAAATATCAATTTTAATCATTGATTTTCTAAAATCCCATAATAAATTTTTTATTGTTTAAGGTGTGTGTTCGTGTGCTTGTGAGAATTTTTTTAATATTTTTAAAAAATAAAAATATTCTTGGTTGGAAAATGAAAGTTTTGCTTTTTTTTTTGTTTTTGGTAGAATGGTAGTACCAGGCTGATTTTTTTTTCACTAATTATTTGCTTTTTCATTGTCTTTTACAAAAATGTATGAAAATAGTAGCAAAATAAAAGCAAATAAATCTAACAGTAACAGAATTTTAAAATTATTAATGGATTTTGCAATATTTATGTAAAATATTTATTTTTAAGAAAAAAAATAAAATTTTTATTGAATAATGATTAAAATTTGTGACAATAAATTGAAGAATTGTGGCTATTATGGAATGATGACTGTTATGTAAGGGAAAGAGTAGAATATAGTTTGTATTTTTCAAATTATATTTTTATTTATTCGTTTATTTGTTTATTTATTTATTTATTTACTAACCAGTGATAACTGACGAAAACTGTCTTTTTCAACTAGTTTTAAAATTTTTCTTTTATGTAATGTAAATTGAGTAATAATTTTGGATTTTAATTTAATTTTTAAAAAAATTTAAAATATAAGTATGTACCGTAAAATATTCAAATATAAGCAGATATTTTGCGTGGTTTCTTTTTCTCAAAATTATTAACAAAATTCATAAATTCATTTGTAATTAATTGATTGTTTTACCCTACTATTTATAAAAAATTAATATTCAACACTTAATAAAATTTAAGTCACTTAATGTAATAATAATAATAATTTAGTTTTAATTTTGCCATCTTTATTTTTTTAATATTGTTTCAGATTTAGATTTAGAACAAAATCAACCGAAACTCAAAATGTTTATTTATGTATAATTTTTAAATTTTTAAAAATTAAATATATTTTTATTGTACTTAAATTCTACAAATAATATTGACACTCCCAAAATTAAATTCTAACGCGTTCTAATTTTGGGAAATTTTTAATTGGCTGATTTTAATTGTCATTCTAACATTTTAGAACATTTAATATTTTCCATACTAATTTAATGTTGAAAAAGAAAAAATAATGAAAACCAGAATACAATTAACAATTAATTATTTAATTTTGTATTTAATATTAATATTTTTATAATATTAATGAAATATAAAATTTAAATTAAAATCCATCAGAACAACAACAACAACAAAAAATTTGGAATTAATTTATAAATTAACATGATTTTGTGCTTATAAACAAATAATAATCAAAATTTTTCTATTACGTATATTTTTTCGAAATAATCACGTTTTCTTAAAATTTATAACCTAAAATTTTCTCATGAATTTTTAACAAAAAATATTCTTTAACAAATTTAATTTAAATGAGAGTGTAAATTTCATAAAATTAAGTAATTTAATATTATTAATTTCTTAATTAAATTATTAAAAAATTTTTATGGTTTTATTTTGTACTTACTCCTGTACTATGATGACTATCTGTAGAACCTTGTGATGATCTGGAACCTCTTTTTAATTGACCAATATCATATTCATTATTTGTATTATAATTAAATCTATCATCCATAGATTTATTAAATCTCTCATTTTTATATTTTTTATTTTCTTTATTATTTTTATTATTTAATAATTGTTGATTTTTACGATCATTGTCCAATGATGATATCGATGATGATGAAATTGAATTTCTTTCATTTTTATATTCAATACTAATTATTTCTTTATTATTATTATTATTATTATTATATTGATTATCTTGACTATTAATTAATAAATTTTTTGATGATGATGAATGTATACCATTAGTAGCAGTTATTGGTAAATTATAATTTGATTCACTATAACTATGTAATGAACTGGAACCGCTACGTGTTGATGTTGTTGAACCAGTTAATGATGGTCTTGGTATATGCAATGAATAATTCATCTGAAACAACAAAAAATTATTATTATTATTATTTTAATTAAATTAATTAAATTGAATTTTATTGTTAATTTAATTCAATAAATTATAGCACTTTGTGTTTCATATGAGATCATCTATAACGCACTGATTTTACTACTTTAAGTAAATTTAAAAGAAAATTTTTTTTTTTATAAAAAGTAATAGTAAAATTGTACGTGTGTACCACATAATGCGTTTATATTGTATACTTAATTATAATTTCAGTCACAATTTTATTATAGTTATTGTATTAAAAAAAAAAATAAGTTAAAAATAACCTTTGTAATAAATACAATGGTTTGCCTTCGATTTAAATTCATAAGTATCACAAAATAATATTCTTTTTTCTTTCAATTAGGGATAAGGCAAATTATGAATCTAAATTTAGTAAAACCATTAACATTATTATTGCTATACACGCTAAATATAATTAATTTGTACGAGTAAATATTGTAAATTAATACAGCAATCGATTGAAAAAAAAATATTTAAGTCAAAAGTTCATTAAATTATAAGTGTGGTTTTACAGAATAGAATAAGTATAGGCTCGCTACTGATTTGGGCTACCACAAAACCAAAAACTAAAGTAACAATTGTAATAATTAATCAAATTTTCCTTATTTTTATTATTAAATATTGTTGATTTTTATATTAATTTTTTTTTATTGCTATGCGATCATGTTGTAGTACTTTATTTATTATTAAAACAATGTTGACCAACTAAAACTAAAAAATAAACAAAAACATAAACAATTGTAAAAAAAGAAAAAGCTTCGAAAAGAATTTTAATTAGCCCGGCTAATTTATAGCTTAAAATGTTAGTTAAAGTCACAATATATATGAAAAGTATTACTTAATAGCTCATTGTTTTGTTCTTGAGGTAGGTCATAGGGTTTTAAAAATTTTGTGAATGGTTAGTAATGTAAAAAACAAAATTATTTTCGTTTTTTGTTTTTTCAATTTTTACTTTAAATTATTTGAGTCCAAATAAAATACGGGCTGAAATTATTGTAAGATTAATAATCTTAAGTAAATTAAGATATGATTAAATAATTTGGGTGTAAGTCTTAATTAACTTTTCACAATATATAAGTATGATTAAGTCACTCACTTATTTTAAGTTGATTGTTATTCTTAAAAGTATCCTTATAGAAATTCGAGTAGCATGAACACATTCTTTAACATTTTCATATATGGTATATAAGGTTGTAAATATTTTATTTATTCAACGGGTGATGAGTAAATTATTTAAAAAAGATTAATGATTGTAATGATATATATATATAGCAGTTACTATAATTACTAATTACGATTATGATTAATTGTTTGACAATAATATTTATATTGTTGTTTAAATGAAATTTTATATTGTAATTAATTGATTTGAATGAAAAATATTAGTATTACAAGTAAGTATTATAGATTTAGTTGCATTGTTAATATTTTATATGAATTAGGTACGAAATTTTCGAATTATTTCTTTATTTTCTTTTAATATATTTTTTATTGCTACTTCGCTCCTGGGAGGAGCATAGGACTGGTGCACGATATTGTAGGTAATCATGAACACCAGTTTCTTACGTCATTAAGTTTACTAAGTAGCTGACGAGCATACCGTAGGGTTAATATTCAGATTTTTGTAAATTGATTTGAGTTTAGTAAAGAAATTTCACTACAATTAACGGCTTTCATTTCTGTGTTATAATAATTTTTAAATATTCATTTATATTTGTATTAAAATTAATAAGATTTCAAAATAACAAAATTAAAATTAAAATTTTATTTTTTATATTTTCAGATAAAAATACCATTTAAAGTAAATTTCAATTTAAAATCGCGTGATGTTATTGTAGAAATAGGTAAAAAAACATTAAAAGTTGGCTTAAAAGGTCATCCACCAGTTATTGATGGTGAATTATGTTCTGATATTAAAATTGAAGAATCTGTTTGGGTATTACAAGATACTAAAACAATATTAATAACATTGGAAAAGGTAAAAAAAAAAACATATTTAATTTTTCTTTTCTATTTTGCACTCTTGAATTCTAATGAAAATATTCTTGTTAATTGTATTTTTTTTTTGTGTTTTAGATTAATCAAATGACATGGTGGGATCGTTTAGTTACAACAGATCCACCAATATTAACGAAACGTATTAATCCGGAACCATCAAAATTATCTGATTTAGATGGTGAAACACGTAGTCTAGTTGAAAAAATGATGTATGATCAAAGGCAAAAAGAAAAAGGTTTACCAACTAGTGATGAACAAAAGAAACAGGATGTATTAAAGAAATTTATGGAACAACATCCAGAAATGGATTTTTCAAAATGTAAATTTAATTAAAAAAGATGAAAATAATTTGATAATTGATGAACTTTTCCTAAAATTATAATATTTTTGTTTAAAATTATTCATTTTTTTTTTTTTTGAAATTTCGTTCAATGGAATCTTTAATTTTTCATTATTACTTATAAAAATTTTGATTTACTATACTCAATGATAATAAAGCTATAAACTTAATGATAAACTTGATAAAAAATTATATAATTTTTGAAAAAATCCTTAAAATAAATTTCAAAGCACATTCTTTCTTATATATGGATGTAAAAAATGTGTACCTAATTTTTTTCTTGAATTTAAAATGCATAACACCAGTATATAAAATAAAAATATTGAAAAAAAAAATGATTTTTTCTTAAATATTACTGCTTAAATTTACATAGAAAAAAGTAATAAAGCAAATAAATTGAATTTTTTCTTTTTTGTACAAAAAATAAATAAAAATGCTTTTTAGTATTACTTATTTGTTTTTTTTTTTTTTAAACAATTTTTAGTGCGCTTATATTCTTTAATTTTAAATTTCTTCAAATCTGTTCTACAAAATTAATGAATTGAATTTATTTTTAATGATTAGATTAAAGTATTCTTAATATATTTTTAAATATCCTGTACTTACACTCAAATTGAATTCAAATATTTTGTTTTTGAACACAATATACTAATTAATTTAGTTTTAGATAAGGGTAGTGCATAATTTTAGCATAACTATCAATTACAAAACTATTTAAATTTGAATTACAATTAAAATGAATTTCTTAATTTAATTTATATTTCATAATAAATAATTTAAAATATATAGGTGAACCCATTAATTAAATAAAAACTCTTGGATCTCGATATGTCCGAATCTAATTGAATAAATTTCATCCCAACGGCTTAAAGGCTAATTAATACGTTCGCGGACGCTAAAAATTTCAAGGAACTGCAAAAATATACAGGCAATTATTTTTGAAATTAGTTGTAATATTTGAAATCTGATTAGAGATGTATTATAAGAATAGTCAGAAAATTGTATTTTAGCCATTATATACAATGAAAGTTATAGCATTTACTACCATATAGATAATTTTTTTCAACTAGAGTGATATGAATTAAATGAATAAAAATTGGCTTTAAAATTTGAATGATATAGCATTGACGTCATTTTACATCACTATAAAAATGAATTCTATAGCATTCGCATCCACAAAAGTGTTAAATGTTTATTCTCTTAATAAAATACAACAATAAATTATTTATAAGAAATATTTTTAGAAAACATTCTTATTGTGTTCATTCAAATTTTTCAAAAACAATCTATTGAAACAAATTAAATTGCAAATTTAGAAAATTTTGAGGAAAAACAAATGTTGTGTATGATTTGCAAATTGATCTCGCATATGCATAAAACCTAAACTTATAAATGGAGAAAGAAAAAAGTTTATAAGTGAAAGCATTTGGTATAGATTTCGTGAGAAATTTTCTAAAAATCTATAAATTTTTTTTATTTCTGAAGCTTGTTGAATTTGCTTTTTTCCAAATGCTTTTAAATTTTTTCATTCAATAATAATAAAAATTTTTATATAAATTATAAATGATTATCATTGTCATTTAAGATAAATATCTGTTATTTCTTATTATGTTTTCTTTTTATTTAAAAATAATATTAGAAAATTAATATGTCAAGCTATAAAACAACCAGCAGATGAGACAAAAAGAAAAGCATCAAAATTTTAGTGTGAAAACAAAAAAATTAACTTTCATTTTAATAGAAAAAAAAATTTTTTTTTATATCTTTCTTTTTATATTGTAGAATATACAATAAAAACCATCTTGACCTCCGACATCAGTAGAAGTGTTTTTTAAGGTTAGAATAACTAGGTTTAGAATACCCCCTACAAGTTTAGCGTCTGTTTTTTTTTTGTTGTAAGTTTTGTGGATTTTTGAATTGTTATTGAAAAGTTGCAAAATAATTCAGTAAGAAATGAAATTTTTTAAATGAGAACACAGGAGTATCAGCTTCCAATTTTTTTTTGCCATAAGACGTGACGACAACAATATCTCCGATTACTCTCTTTAGTCAAATAAATAATATAATAGATTCTAAATTAACTACCATTCTTTCTTTTCTTTTCATTTTATTTTAATATCATTAATTTTCATATAAGTCATTATTCTCATATATTTTTTCTTATTTTATGCTGTACAAATAAATCATCACATTTATTATTCGTCAAGGTAGAACATAGAAAATACAGGAAAAAACAAACAAAAAGCCAAGAAGAAAATTGATGATGATCACACGACCGATAGAATAAACTACCGGCGGCCGGTTTTTTATTAAAAAAACAGCAATAAAATAAGAAGAAAAAAAATATTGTTAATTGTCCTAACTGTTTCTTTTGTTAAACCATTTTTCGGTTTTTTTGTTTCTTTTTTGGATGATTTGGATTTACTGCTTGTTTTCTTCATTTTTTTTTCTCATAAATTTTTTTTCTTTTCCTTAACTTTTGATATTTTTACTAAGATTAATTTTTTCCTCCTTTTTTATTTTTTATTTGGGGTTATAATTTTATTCTATGAATATTTCGAAGATTTTCTCACATGTTTAAGAGATTCGTTCCCGGTACATAAAGGTACGATCATTAATATGTGTATGTATATATGCAATTCTTGATTGATTTAACTTTCACAAAAATCCAAAGAGTTCTTGTGCCAGGAACGATTATTATTTTTTTTTAGTTTTTAATTCTAGATATTTATAACAAATTAAGTATCAATAATTATGGGAGAAAAGAAAAATTTTCGGCATTTATGAGTAGAAAATTGTCGGTACTCATGAAACACGTATAGGTTATTTTTATTTGTGTAAAATTTTTAAGCAATTTTCAGCATGAAAACAAATAATAGTCTTATAATTAAATTTTAATGATGTTAATTTATCAATTTCTCTTTTTTATATTTTAAGAGTAGAACACATATTTATTATATCTCCGTTTAATAATGAGGATGCCCTATTTTATTATTATTGTTTCATGTTATAAATTTTTAAAGATAGGTTATAAATTTTGACTGATAATTAAATTTAATGGTTTTTTAATCATATTTTATTTGGTGATATTTAATTCGCAGAATGATTGAGTCAAGAATCAAAGTGGAAAATTAATATGTAAAAGAAAACGATTTATTAGATTTTGTTTACTGAACAAAATTACTGAAATTCGTAGTAACATTAATATTTTAAGTTTGCTCTTAATATTCAAAACTTTCCTTTCTTTAAGTAGAAAATTATATTTCGGAATAGATGAGTATAAAATGTTAGTATCTATTTTTAGAAATACACAATCTGACCTTTAATTTCTAAATTAGAATTTATTATAGGTTTTGCACTAAATAACATTTTCAAAGTTCATATACAGCGTGATTCAGAAAGTTATACAACAACATATACCATTGGTTAGAAAATACCACAACAACATATACCATTGGTTAGAAAATCGAAAATGAGTAAAACTTTTGTTCTGAACTGGATGCGAAATCTCAAGGGTTTCCGAATTCCAGGGGTTTTTAACGAAATTGTCACGAAATTTTTACTTATCCAAGTTTTTGAATTATAACTTCCATTCTGAAAAAGATAGGAACTTCAAACGAACAGTTTCTGAAAGGCCTAGTAAAGGACTTAAAATAGACAAGCTTCTTGATTCTGTATATTATGTACCTTCGGAATAACAAGCGTTCTAACTTTAAAGAAGATAAAATTTTTCCTTTGATTCTTTCAGTTTTTTCTAGGTAGATAATTTCGTAAGAAGTTTTTTAAAACTCTGACATTTTTTTATAGAATTTTGCCCAGCTGTTTGACCTTAATTTAAGTTCTCCATCATTAAAAAATTTTTTAATGTTGCAGAAGATGTAGTACAAAAACCATTTGTATGTCAAGATTTAAAAGACCCTTAAAAGCAAGAATTTTAAGCCTTGTAATTATCAAAAATCATTAATTTTTGGTGACAATAGCCTTTCGAAAAAACAGTTGACATTTTGAAGAATCGTTATTTTGACAAAAAATCTGAATTTTAATATTTTTATTGAAATGTAACAAATAATAACAAAATTGAAACGAAATTTAATACAAACCAAAAATTAAAAATTTGAAAAACAAAAATTGATTTTAAAAAATTTTAAATTTTTTAAAAGAAAAACTAGAATTTTACAACAAAAAAAAAAATCTAGTAATCAAAAATTTTTTTTCGAAACTTTTCTTGGTAAAGAAAATTGATAGGTTTTTTATTTTTGCCAATTTTTATAAGAAATGGTACCTATATGGTTTGAAATTTTTAAATGCATTTTTCTCAGATTGGGTGCAATTTAAAAATTTGAAAAAATTATTTTCGGAATCTAGACACCATTTAGCATTTGAAGTTATAAAAATTATCAAAGTAAAACGAATTTTTAAAGAGATGCCATATAAATTTTGACATTTGTTTTAATTGAAAAAAATTTTTTTTTGCTAGAAAATTTAATTTTTTTAACAAAATGGAGTTTGTAAATTATTTGGTATTAACATTATGAAGCTAATAAATAATTTATAAGTAATTTTATGGGATTATTAACTTTTAAACATACATATTTCTACAAGAGCCGAAATTAGTGTACTATATTTCTAATTTTAGTTTATATTTCAATCAATTGGAAATAATAAAATATTTAAATTTGTAATTTCATTTTTGAAACTTTTATAAAACTTATGACAATCTTACACTTTCCCAAATAAAAAGAAATTTTTTTAAGCTAATGCCAAATTTGTAGTTTTTGCACCTGTGCCTTTCTGTTGCCTAAGTTATTTAAGTTCTAAGTTAAAAATGTGAAAGCTTATTGCATTATCAGAAGCACCCGTACATATAAATTTTATTTTCATATCAATTTTCTTATCATAAAAGACTTGTTTTTAATTCTCATTTCATTATGATTGTAATAAATATGGGGCTTAATTATCAAAAATAAAAGCCGCCAATAAAAATATGCTTGAAATTAAAATGCAGAAAGAAAAAATTTAAAACAACAATAAGGATAGGAACGTTCAGTATCCAAAACAAAAATTTTTCTATGACTTAATTTAAAATTCTTAAAAATTTTTATGTTTTTTTTTCCCTTCCATTATACACGGGTTTAAGAATGTTTTATTTTGATAAGTTATGTTGCTAATTCGATTCGATTTTAATTGATTTAGAATAATAATATTAAGAAAAAACTATTTATAATAATAATTCTTTGCCGAAAATAAAAAACAACAAAAAATAGATTCCAAAAAATATTCAGTTTTTGTT